TTAGTATTTCAATTGTAACGTATACAGAACTGCCTAAAGAAAGGGCAATAAAGGGTTACTCTGAAAATGCAAAGTTCATGGTACACAGGGAAGTATCTAGTAAAGATCCTTGTGAATCTGTCTTGGGATTGTTATTTGGTATTTCCATTAATGGTCTTGGCACAAAACCAGGACCGAGTCAATTACTTCTGCTACTGACAAAACCGGAAGGCAATTCTACATTGGAAGTCAATATAGAAAGAGGATATCCCAAGCACAGAATAAGATGACCTTGAGAACTAGTGTTATAGAAATATTGCTTTGTAGTAACAACAGAAGTGCCAGCTCATGCTCAGGACCTTCAGCAAACTGGTGAGTCATCGCTGAAAAATGACACACAGGAGAGCTAATTCCATTAGGTCAATAGCCACATGTCCACGAGCTACCAGTCTGATATAGCCAGGCAAAAGAAAGGAAGCTTTGGAATACATAAAGCACCGTGTGTCCAGTAAGAGGCTACGGTAAAAAGAAGCATGTGAAAAAACCTTATCTGAAGCGTTCAGGAAAGATGTATCTAGCTGTAATGCATGCACAGAATTCCCTGAGGAAAGGAGAGTGTATCTTAAAAATTAGATTGAAACAGGTATGATTTGCTTTCTCCTAATCTGTCTGACAGTCAAACAAAAGCAAAAATAATGCTGATACAAGTACATAAATGAGTATGAACTTATGTAAACTTTGAGCTCAAAAATCAAAAGCACTCAGAAGTTTAATTAGTTTTCAAATGTCTGAAATAAGTATTCTACTGAATGATGCCATTCAAATTAATAGTTTAATGTACGCATTTTGTTAGGATTACCTTCTTTTAAGGATGTATGGCTAATGTATGCACAGCCACTCCAAGCTCGGACTGGCATAAGACTCTCTGCTTTGCAATAAATTTTATTTTTAAAATACGGGTAAATATCTTATAGCTAAGATAACACAAGCATTGCATTTTAAACTGCTAGGTATGTGCATAAGAATAATAGAAATCATTTATATTTATTGCAGAAAATACTTGGGCTTTTAAAAATTGTTCCTGAAGACCAGGAATATTATTCTCATAAGCAAGGTTTCTGTACTTGACTACCCTCCTCCAAATATCCAATTGCTTTAGAAATCACATTGCTCCTTGTTAAAAGCAGTGACAGTTCAAAAGCCAATACAGTTTTGGTTTTCCTCTGTAATTGGATTTTACTACAAAGTCCACATGAATACCATTCTAAAATCACTCAGCATCTACTGCAAATAGCATCTATGAAGTATGTTCACTCAGAACTGATCTAAGATCACTCTGCTCCTAAAAGAAAAGGTCTTGCCCTTCTCTGAACGGAAGAAAGATTATATCTCAGCGGGAAAAGAGAGCTCATCTGACTTGTACATGGCCTATGAACGACTATTCAACATTAAAGAGGTGTAAGTGGTAGTAGTTAGTTTGGTGGTAGCAAAGCCCTAGATCACCTTAGTGAGACCTGCATGCCTTAAAAAACAAGTAACATGCAATATCCTTGATACATTAACTACTCTTATTAAATATTTTTATAGACTATTAGGTAAATAAACAGAGAAGCTTTTATTTCAAAACTATTTTTAAGCAAATACTAAATGAAAAGTCATTGAATTTTTAAGGAACATCTGGGGGTTTTTTTAAATTATTTTTAAGGAATTTCTGCTTTATATTGTTACCTCAGGTAATGAGGTTAACTGTGTATATGGGTTCCTAGGACTTGAAGCGAAGTGTAGGGAATCTTAGGATGGAAACCCATTAATTGTGTTTAAAAAAAAATAAAAAAATAAACAAAAATGGAAATAACTTCAACTTTACAATGCAGGCTGTTTGAGGGGCACCTGGATAGAAATTTATTGCACTGAAATTTTTAATACTGAATTTGTCTTAGACTACTACAACCTTTATTCATGATAGTCACAGAAAGAACTGCACAGTATAAAGCCAGTAACTCTTAAGAACTGACAATGCTTAAATTGAAATTCCAAGTATTTCTTTGTTCAAGCTAACACTGAAGAACAAGAAAAAAATCATCTATTGCATTTTGACAACTTTTATATTATAACCAAAGGCTCAGAATATTCATCTTTTCTGTCAAGCAAAACATTATTGTACCTCCCTTAGCCATCTAATCTTTTCAAATATATCATTATTCCAAAGAAGATGGAGCACACCTGATGGCTGCCTCTGTGGGGAGGTCAGAGTGACAGACACAGGAAAGAAAAAACACTATAAATATCCTCCAGATCTCCTCTTTAAGTACTGAAAATACTATTAGTAAGTTTTGCTTATTTGTTGTGTTTTTTTTTTTCCCTAGCAAGAGTTAATTGTTACAGATATTGGCTCAAAGTGGAAAAAAACATCACCTCTGTGATTATCTTCACCTTTCAAAATAAGTAGGTATAAAAAATATCTGAATTTCACTGAATTTCACTGAATTTCTAGAGTTGGAAGGGACCATAGAGATCATCTAGTCCAACTCCCCTGCTGCAGCAGGATTGCCTAGAGCTAGAGCATGTTACTCAGGACCATCCAGGCGGGTCTTGAAAATCTCCAAAGAAGGGGACTCCACACCCTCCCTGGGCAGCCTGTTCCAGGGCTCTGTCACCCTCACCGTGAAGAAGTTTCTCCTCATATTTGAGTGGAACCTCTTATGTTCCAACTTGTGCCCGTTGCCCCTCGTCCTCTCAGTGGGAACCACTGAAAAGAGTCTGGCTCCCTCCTCCTTCAACCCTCCCTTGAGATACTTGTAGGCGTTGATAAGGTCTCCCCTCAGCCTTCTCTTCTCCAGAGAGAAATGCAATCTCATTAAGAGAAATGCAAAAAATTTTGGAAGTATTATGTTGCAGATCATTTTCAATTTATAATTAATGACTTAGTAATTAAGAACAAAATTTGTATCTACCCCATTGTTTACCTAAAGACCTTATATGCTGAGTAGCAAACACTATCCACTTGCACTTTGTGCAACCTGACCCGGAGACATGCCACTGAAGTGAAGCGGTCACCCGTCTGACAGATTGAAAGGTATAATTCCATGTGGATGGCATGGAATATGCTAGAGCAGAACACACTGAGTGATTTCATACTTTCACCTTGCTTATGATAAACACCCATCATAAAACTTTATCATATCAGAAGGGAGAAAGAATAGGTGTACCAGACTGCCACAGAAAGAAACAAAAAGCCCAAATTCAAGCATAATGAATGCTATCAAAGCATATCCTTTCCTATCTGAGACGCTTTAGACAAGCTGCTTTAGACCTTCTTATGTATTGCATTCTGTTTTTTGAGTTATTGCTTTATATATGCTCTTTTCCCTGTCTATTTTCTCACCATAGCACTGAAAATAACAAGCTGGTAACCTCTCATATCAAATACCTAGTGTTAACCAAACCATCAGCCATGTACAGCACTGACTTCTGGAAGAGAAGAAAATAAATGTTGCATGCATAAAACAACAATAGTTGAATTAGAGCTGTTCATTAAGAACTTAAATACCTTGTAAACACTTCACATAATCTAAGATAAACAAAGCATCACAAAAATTAAAACAAATCTTATTTGAGGTTGTTTCTATTACTTTTATTTGCTACCTGGTATCTAGATCCACCTGATTGGACCAGCAATGACCATATATCCTGTAACTGATGCTTGAAATATGAAATAAATATGACAATAGTGGGCAATATAAACACACCATTAGCAAGACATCTTTGCAAAAATTATTCAATCAATAAAATACCTAAATGAAAATAATATGGAAATATAAAAATTAAAATAATCAACTGCACCTATTTTAGTACAAACTCCAAGCTAATTTGGGAATAATTAACTTATTTGAAATGACTCCATAAAATGGAAACTGAACATTTCTGCAGTGTAAAGAGACCATATTGCTTTTATAGAAGAAATCATGGGGGTTTGACCAGTAAGATTATTTAGAAAATGGGGAAATAGTTCATAGGTATTAAATTCTTTAAATAAAAACGTTCTTCAAATACTTGGGTTGGTGGGTGGGTGGGTAACTAGTACATCCCTGAAAAATTAAAATGTGGTTCTGCTCTAAGTGAGGACTATGAAAACGGAATATTGCACACATTTCATTACAAGATCCTGTAGACTAGGGCTTCTTATTTTACAAAGAAGACTTTTTTCTTCCTAAATGTCAGTCTGCAAATCTAACTTCAAGTACAATAGCCAAACTGATTTCTTTTTTCTTAAATGTACTCTCTAAAAATTACAGTTTTGAAGGTCAGGCTAGTCCTAAATGAAATTTGCATAATGTGGCTACATCCAGTTGGCTTGTCCCTAATACAGCCCTCACTTTCACCTTAATTCCTTATAATTTGTGGCATATCTATCCTCCTAGTACATTGCCAATTGTTTTTTTTTTATTCCACTTCAGATAGACTGTAGATCCTTATAACCTTATTAGAAAAATCAATTCCTACTGAAATGTCTCAATATGAAGACACTAATCAGGATGAAAAAAATGCCTTTCACTCCCAGTGCTGGTTAGGCACGCCTTGACACATACACGCCTGCACGCAAAAGCCAATTCTCTACCTGGAACAAGATAATCTGAACAACTCCAGCACACATGGGAAAAGTATCTTGTCATGGTGACTTCAAAAGGTTTATCAAAAATAGTCGCAGGAATAAGGAAAATGAGAAGCATTTTTTAATGTTTCAGTTTATTCAGACTTAATAATAAAATATCTTATTAGAATAGAAATTTGTCTTTTTTATTTTTTCTAATCTGTTCTTTGTTGTGACTAGAGAAGAAACATGGCAAATGTAAACAAGTACGGGATTATTATCCACTTTTTTAACAGGTTGGAATGAAGTAAGCACAAGAAATAGCAACTGCAATAAGCACCCTAGTTTCCTTACTGTGCAGTGGAGGGAAAACACAAAAGAAAAGAGATTTAAAACAAAAAATTAAAATATATAAACTATTAAATCTTACCTTGCCAGCCTGGTTTGCACACTGGTTTGACATTAACTCGTACTAAGACGTCTTCCGTTGCATGTTTTTGCCCACAGTCAAAAGCTGTTACCATTATCTCATACTGGTGCTGTTTATCATAGTTCAGTTTCTCAGTGTTTCTGATGTTACCTATAGATTCAACAAAAGATAACATTCAGAAATTACTTATTGACTAAACATATACAGACTATAATATTTGGGAACTCGTTAATCGAGTGCTTTATGACCAGAAAGCTCTTTGAAGCCCATGGCACTTCCACAGGCAGGACAGTTATGAGGTATGGGAAATATTTTCTTTCAATCCAGTAGAAAAATAAAGATGTTCTTAGCCAAATACAAGGTGATAGGCTTATAATATGGACACGTCTATGTTATTAAACATCTGCTCAACAACACTATGAAGACTGTAAAACTAATTATCATTTATATCTTGAAACATAAAGTATGAGTAGTGCAACCTTATTTCCCACATCTTCCCAGCACACATGGCTCTAACACGGCAGCCACATTCCTGTGATCCACTGCTGAACATCTCCCCAGCTTAGGTATCTTCCTTTTTTCTCTAAAGCTATTACCCCTTAGGTGAGAGAGATTTTTAGCCTTTTAACATCTTTCCCTGGGTTTTAAAAAAATGAAAAGCCCCAGAATCACCTTCTACATTAGAGCGCTTAGGAGTATTTGATATGACAGGACAGGGTTATGGCATGGAAAATAAAACTCAGCAACAAGAGAGATTATCTGTTGAACCTCACACATATATAAAGGTGGCAAATTACCTCTTTTGGGAACAAAGACATTACAACTTCCACAAGAAAAGGGAAAGATCTTTCTCAGAGTACTTCCTGCAGGACTGGAAGATTACCATGCAGAATGCATGTTTTTGTAAGTAACGAGTTCAGCATTTTAATTCTGCCCATTTCACTGAAATGCACTTATTTTTCAAATTGAAACTATAATAGCTTTCACACTTTTTCTCAGGGCTGTCTGTTATACCATCTCTCTGGATGTTTAATCTTGTATTCAAAAAACAAACTTGCTCTGGATTAATGCTACACATATGTTAGGTCCCAGTTGGATTGTTGGTCCGGGAGGGGTTCGTATTGATTCTTAGGTTGTGATTAAGACACCCTCGGGTTCTCACAACACGACAACTGCTTTCAAGCATGGATCTGCAAAATAAGTTGTTTGGGCTAAATTTGGAATCGGGAGCACCCAAATCCTGGAGTTTAGTGAAATACAGTGATCCAATTCCCAAAGGTGCTGGTTAAGTACCTGTTGTTAGTTGTGCTGCCATTGTCTGGGGGTTTGGGGGGGTGGGTGTGGTTCATTCAAAGGAGTGAGAGACAGGCAAAAGCAGACAAATGAAACTTCTTAAATAAATCTTGCACTAAATGTCCCCCAGTTTGACAAATAAAGACTTTTAACAGGTGTCTCTGACACACACTACTTATCTTGTCAGAGCCCAACACTTTTCTGACTACTACATTAAAGCCAACTGGAGTAGCTCCATTGAAAGTTTTCAGGTCAGGCCTGATGGAAGGCTGCTTTTGCAGTTATCACCATCTGCTGGTTCAAAATTTGTACTTTAAATAGACCCTTACATCTGCAGCTATAAGTCAGGCCCAATACTCCAATTTATGTTGGTTTTGAACCTTTACCCCTGCCTTTTAGAGCAGGGCATAGAGGGGGACAAGGCCTGTCACTAACTTTATGTCTCAAATAGAGAAGCAGAAGGACCTGCTGAAGGCTAACATGGAATCAGTGCTGTGTCTACAGCTTCCTTGATTCTCTCACTCAGGCACCTCACCTTGCCAGGCATTTTTAAGTTTGCCATGTAGATGGATTTTCCCATCACAAAAGCAACTGCAAAAACAATATCTACTACTACATTATTTTTGAGTTAGTAACTGGTAAAAAAATTTAATCTACCCATCTTACTATCTTGAGTTGTTTAATACCTGCCTAAGAGGATTTAATGAAAAACTGCCATTATATAATTCATTATTCATTTAATATCTGCTCTTTCTTTTCTGCATTATATTATTTCTTATATGAATCTTCATATTTCCCTGTTTGGTTCTCCTTGGTATTATATCAGTCCATGATCAGCAGAGATAATTCTCAAGAAACCAAAATTATCTGAATCTACATTAGCTAGAATACTAACCCTCCTCTAAGATTTTTAAATCATTACAACATATTTGCATTTCACTAAATCTATCTTCCAAGATTAATATTTCATTATGGTCTTTTAAGATTTGGACTACAAAGATTCTGTCTGTTAGGTGTTATTCTGAAAGGTCATTTGGATGTCTTGTTACTCACTGTTTATTTATTTCCTAATTAATCTATTTTTCTGTGGCCATGCTTTATGCTTCTTTGTTATTTTACAATTTAATCAATATGATTAAAAAGTAGAGACAGAAAGGAAGTGCTATAAATACAGACTAATTAAAGTTTTAGAGTTGATAGACTGAAGATTTCTATTTATAACTCACTCATAAACAAAAAAGGTAAACAATAACATTAAAAAAAAAGAAAATTTTAATGGGAGAAGTAAGTACTTTTCTACACAGTTCACAATTAGGTCATAAAATGATTTTTTTCAGTCTTTCCAAATCTCTGCCTTTTCCTGGAAATACCCAAAGCTATAACAGATTTTAAAAACAAAAAACAGGTAAGTGACAAGAAGAATATGAAAATTCCTTCCTGAGGACACACATATTTATATCTCTGTTTCTTCAGGGTCAGTTTTGGAGATACATTGATACAGACTTCCCACTTCTAAGGCTGTCTTTAACCTTATTTTGAAGCAGTCACAAGAGAAGGGAAAGACTTGACTAATTTACTATGGCAATTCCCTCTTAAATTCCATATTTCTTCCTGTGGGTACAAGTATGAAACCGAATCTCCTCATTCATACAAGAGATGAGGGCTAGTGTTGTTACATGAGTGGCCTCTGACTTCAGTCTGCTCATGGGAGTGGCAGCTCAACATTCCCGGCTGCCAAGAGCCACCAGGAGCTGTATTTGACCATAAGTCAAATGAAGGATTATTAGAATTGCTTCTTGTGAAAAAGGTGCTCTTTTCAATGATAATGGAAAGAAACTGTAGTTTAATAAATAAAAAAAATATCACATGCAAATGCTTAACTATAAAAATTCCACTACTTTTTTTGACAACATGAAGCTTGCATAGCTCCTAGCACAGATCTCAGTGCTGTAAAGGCTGACCTTGTGAGATCCTGTTCACATCTGTTTTCTAAGATATGTGACTGGACAGAGAAGTCAGTAACTCATCTTCATAGAATCAGAGAATACCAGGTTGGAAAGGACCTCAAGGATCATCTGGTCCAATCTTCCTTGGCAGAAGTCCAACATTTCTTGGAAAAATCTTCATATTAGATAATCTGAACATGTATTTGTGAAGTGCTTCCCAGTGGCGGGTGGTAAATATAGTTAACCCATTTTAGAGATGAGAGTAGGTTAGAGCCATAAGAGAATCTGTTTCTGTCTCTACTGATATAGATATACCTACAGATACAGAATCTTTCTCTATCTGTATCTCTGACCACCTGACCATGATTTCTGACAAATTGCATAAAAATGTTGTTCTGCTGGCATTAAAACAGATCCATGCGCTGTGGTTTAATTTTTCTGTTACCTGAAATAAGCCTACACACTATTGATATGATAACTCACTTGATGACTGTGATTCTCTGCTAAGAAGACAACTGGACTAAACTGCGTGCAAAAGTATCTTAAAACATGTTATATCTTATACCTTTAGTCCCAATTCTTTACATAACAAAGCATAATTTTTTCCTTTGCATTTACACAATTGTATTTTATGACCGAGAGTTCATTACCTTCCAAGTTCAGCTCATCATACACAAAAGTCAATGTTATTAGTGTTACGGTTTCATAACACAATATAATTCTGTAGACAAAAAAATCACATACCAAGTGTGAAAGTTGCCACATGTAAATGGCAAGCTTTATATTACCTACTTTTAGGTGCCTAATTTACAAAGATCTACACCAGAGCCGAGCGCTACTTCCTGCACCAGTGCTGGGGGCCTCTCCACTTGTGCCTCACACAGTTCGGTGATGTGAGGCAGACTGTGTGTTGCTACACTCTGAAGGATTCTCTCGTCCTTTCTGTAAATGTTCCCCAAGATGTAATATAATTTTTCAAAACAACAAAATTCTCCCTGGATTGATCTAGAGACAAGAAATAAGTTTTGCCTAAAAAGACAATGATCTGCCAAAAGAAAAAAAGTTGATGGAATAGCACGTTCATTTTTCTAAAGGCCTGTGTTTGTGGCTAATTTCATAGGTTAGTGATTAAAAAAATCCACCATCTGGGACTGATAATAGCATGTTTTCCTCACGTGCTCTCTACTTTTGGGGCCAGCTGCAGTATTTAGATTTGATTCTAAGCATCTGGTTAAATACTCTTTCTGGGCAATGAAATTCCACTTATGTTACTGAAATGCAGAAAAAATCATAACTTGCAGGAGACACAGGAACCAAGACTTGTTTTTCACAATGGGTGAAAAAACCTATGAACAAACTCCTGATTAGCACATTATTAACAGACAGTCCCAGGCATCTCATACATCTATTGTAATCATCCTATATGTAACCAAAATGGGCACAGTGCCAAAGAATTTACACAGAGAAAGTTTATATCAGCTGGCACAGAGAGACATTCTCAGCAGTGAAATGTGTTGAAACTAAGCAACGTATTTCTGTCACAAAATGAAAGTGCAACCATCTATTCTAACACTGCCTTTAATCCCAGTGGGTTTAAGCAATTACCATTATCTTAAAAAATTGCAAATTAGATTGCAATTACTGTTGATTGTGGCAGCACTGTGCGTTTAGTGAACAAACAGAACAAAAAATATTAATTGAATTCATGACCAAGAAAGAACCTGCAAGTATTACAACCTTATAGCAATTATTCACTGCAGGCTTTAAAGTCATGGTTAAATCAATGATTTTCTCATTGCCTTTGCTGAAAAGCAGGTCCCAGGCACATGAGGACAAAGTTGTAACCAAGGATTCCTGACACTTCACATGCTTTTAATCATGCCTCTGACTGTAAGAAACTTCTGATCACTCATGAGCCACCTGCAGTGTGTGATAGGAGCTGAAAAGCATAAGCAACAGAAATGTCTGCTCTGTGTCTGTCATGCTAATATCAGCGTATTATTTATCCATGATATCAGTCACAAACCTGGCATGAAATTATGAACCACCTGCCACTCACGTAAATAACCAGCCCCATACTGGCAAGTCACATGGAGCTCTGGAAAATTAATGGTTTCAAACAGAAACATGGAAATTTCCTTTTATGACAACATGGGAAATCTCAGAATTAGCAAACTAACCCATAGAGAGGAAAAGCTTCTAGGGAATTGCACATGAACATCTACTGCCAAATGCCCACTTCCTGTAAAAAATCCTTTGTGCGATTGCTCTGGCAAAAGATTACTGACCAGCTGACCTCATTTACTTAAACACAGATATACTCATTATGATTATACCTCCTATATAATATACTTGCCTCCCAATGTATTATAACAAGATGGCTTTTTTCCCCAATATCATTTACAATTTATTGATGCTAAGAGGTTGTTATCTTCTGATGCTCAGCTGTGCACTGTACAAGAACTGCACAAAAAATGATGAATAATTTTTGGATAGGGGAAAGAGTTTTTATAAAACATTGCAACATGAAAATGACTACTTAGAGAAAACAGTAGCTCCATGCATGCTTTCAGTTTCCAATTTGGCCAAAAATCATATTTAACTTCCAAAAAGTATTCTCCTCCTACATACAACATGGATTAAATGCTTCTGTTAGGAAAGATAAATCAGAGCATTGCTGGGCATGCACACGGGGTGCTTGTGCTGGGGAAAAAGGTTCTGCGAGCACAGGAATTTCCATTTTGAACTTCTGCACAAGTGTGAGCATGTGAATATCAAGAACAAGTACTCTTATCTACAAAAAGGTGCCAAAAAGGGACTGCTGAAGTACTTGAAAAACAAAGCTACTATTTTATACTGTCTGAAGCAACCAGAGAATGAGAGGAAGGATCTTCAACACATTTCTAATGCAGCCCAGCCACCTCTCCCAAATTCAGTGCCAAGTTCTGTGCTTTGCCCTGGTGTGAACTTGACAGGGAAACACGGTAAGCTGACAGACAGGGCTGCCAAGGTCAAAAATTGACACACATGGAAAACGTAATATGGCTTATTATTTTTCCTGTAATATTAGATACATTAGAAAATCAACTAAAATCTAAAACCATAAAAGAATATACCATTTATCCAAAGCATATATTCTTCCACACTGCAGAAGAATGGATCTACTTCAGAAAGCACCACAAATGGGTAGATCTACATACTCATACCCTGAAAGTTTTAACAATCAATAAACATATTCTAAATTCTACATTTAGAGTCCAATCCAGAAAGTTTAGAAGAATGGGACTAGCTATAAACCAGTGAATAAACCATATTGGGTAGGGCTACACGCTGCATTAGGAAATGCCATCACTTGGATGGGAAACTGGACAATTAAGAGAATAGACTGAGTGCCAGAGAAACATACTGCTCATCTAAAACTGGGATTTTAATTTCCACAACAAACTACTGAGGCACTTTCTGACCAAATTTTACGTAAAAGGGATGGAATTTCCCAATGTAATGGTTCCGTCATTCTCAGAGATGAAGATTACTCTCAAGTTAAAACAGAATCCAGGTTATCAACTAGTATCAATAGGTAATTACAGTATCTACAGAAATTACTGCTATCTGTCCCAGAACTTGCAACTGCTCCTTCTCCATACTCACCGTTTCTGTCGATAGCGAAAGGAACATCAGTTGTGACAATTTCATAATTGCAGATCTGGCTGTACTGTGGGGAACAGTCCTCGTCGATGGCTTCTACCTGCAGTATGCTGTCATAGATCTTTCCCTCTGTCACGGTGGCCTTATACACACTCTCCTTGAAAGCTGGTGAAAACTCATTGACATCCTTTACCTGGATATGGACCACTGCCCTAAAGTAGGTAAATAAAGACATCAAAGGGAAACATTCATTTATCATGACACTTGAAAAGACTAACAAAACATACCTAGAAAACTATGCAAACATCTGCTAAAATGAGATATAATTGAATGTCTATGTTTAATTTGCCCAATTTAACATCTTAATGTGGCACTAGGTAAAAACCTAGTGCCACAGCTTGTATGGATAGGGCTTCACAACACTCCCTATTAAAATTTGTCTGCCTTTTAAAATGGATCCCAGCAGAAAGTTATCATCCCAGTGTAAAAAGGGTTAATAAGCAAGAAAAGAGGAAGAGAATGACAGTAGTCTTACATACTCACTACCTAAAATGGTCAGTTTATGAACATGCTTTGATATTAAATCAGCCTCTCACCTTATGCTGATTGTAATTATTTATGCTTTAATTAGTTACAACATAGTATATGTAAACGTTTGCAGGTCAAAAATAACAGGCATTTCGTATTTAATGTCGTTAAAGGCCTGCCTTTGAAAGAATTTGCTATCTGGTTTGATAGGCAAGGTAACAGGGGGACAGAGAAGCACAGGGACTTTCTGGAGGCAGAGGCAGTAGTAGAGGTGGGGACCCCAGGCAGCCTGGCTTAGCAAGTGCTTGACTACAGACAGCACTACAGGAAAGTGCAACAAAGTCTGGTCTCAATGGCTCACATTTCATTTGGTCAGGATTAGACCAAAATTTTCCACAAGTGGAACATACTAGCTTGTTACTGACACATGAGGGAAAACCGTCTTAAAATTTAAGAATATGAAGCAAAACCTGTTTCTGTGACCTGACAGTTATTTGATATTGCAGGCTTCCTTCTAAATGTGTATTCTTTTAAAATAACCTGAAAAAGTTCAGCATGCATTACAGAGCTAATTAAATTTTTAATTGTCATGTGTCCTGGATGAGAAAAAGGAAGAATGATTACTATTAATCATTTATTCAAATAGCTCTCAGCAAAATGAACAATTTGTACCGCAGTTACACATCTACATGTGAGTGAAATTAATCTTTAACGACAAACGGTCTGGAGCTTGGTTTCATGAATTGAAGGTGAAAAAAGACACAGTGCCACTTAAATTTATGCAGGGAATTGGCTCCACAGTAAAAAGTACCACCTACTAACTTTCAATACCTCCCTCTTCCAGAGGATTTGAATTCCTCTGAGACTTGCTGTCCAAAAGCTGAGGTCAGAAACACACTGTGAAAAGGTAACACTGCTGCAGCTTATATCCATGCACATACTAAAAAACCCCGGTGATTTCTCTTTTCTTACCATTTCAAATGCAATAATCAGAGAGAAAACCTATTTAGAATTTGTAAGTATCAATTAAAAGCTAGCTTCCATGTCCTGGATGATCTGTTTGGTCAACGTATTTAATGTGAAAGCAAGAAATAAACCAAAACTGAGATACTTTTCTCCACTTGAACGAGGATCCTATTAAAAGCTTCAACTAGAACCATTGCAGAATGGGTCAAATTGCAGGAGGCAAAAAAGAAAAATATTTTCTAAATGGAAAAAGGAATAAAAAGTGCATGGACTATTGCAACGATGGTTCATCTTGCTTTTATTTGCTTTCTACCTGACTGCAATATAAAAAGGAACCCTTCAATCTGATGTGTACTGTAGAAAAAGTATATGCCAAAGCAAAAAATAAAAAAATTCTCATTTTCACCCACTTGTGAGATTTCTTCCAGTTTGTTCCACCTGGTCCTGATCCACAATCGTAGGCCTGGATGATGAATGTATATTCCTTCTGCAGTTCACAGTCAATAGGACTTTTTGCTCGAAGACGGCCTTCTCCAGATGTCTTGTTTAGCACAACAGCTTCAAAGGGCATTTCTTGTCCATGGATTTTAAAAGCACAGATTTCACCTGTGAGGAACAGCATAAAACAATCATAAACAGGAAGGTCTAAGTCTTATGCACTAGAGTGACACTGGAGAAGTTAGAACTCATTCATATTTCTCATGCTGTTATAGATGGAGTAAGTATAGACTTGGGCATCAGTTCATAATACATCCAAAAGGGCTACTGGCCACGCGCCCATAGAGTGTGATGTGGTGAGCACAGCTCTAGTCATGTACTTTCCTCTTCTTCAGTCATTACTAAATGCTTTCTTAAAGCCCTAGAGACTACTCCCTAGATGTGGTACTAGCATCAACGTTGAGCAAAATTATTTCCGAGCTAAATTAAGAAGACTGTATCTAGCTAAAGAAAGTAGCAGAAAGAAAAATAGAGAATATTTTAGACGTGGTCTTTTCTAACTGCTGTCACGCCTTCCTTGAGCCCCTCAAGCTGCCAGGTGGTAGCAGATGTTCAGATTCTTGCAGTTTAGTTTCCCAGCAGTGAAAAAACTAATGATGCAGAACATGGGCACATTCAAAATATATCTTGCTTTATTTACAGACATATATCACCTTTACAGCAGAAACAGTTGAAGGAAAACAGACAAGTATCCCTTTTGGACATCTCAGTCACCCACCCACGTTCACATACTCATACATGAATGCCTTCTTGGCAGCAACTCACTCTGCCTCCAGACTGCCTCCTAATATAATAGATCCATAGTTTCTCTCAGAGGAATACTACATAATAAAACAGATGATATAGCAAGGACTAAAAAAAATGGTTTGGACACAAAAGACAACATAAAAAAATCTTGTGACAGTATGAATCTGGTAGGGAAAAAAATCCAGTTTCTGATGATCCTTTTTTTAGTCTTTCATGCTAATAGCAAGGATATGTACACTGAATCCATTTTTAGCCACTCCAGAATCCAGCTTTTAAAATAAAATATTTATACAAAGACCAATGTGGCTTAAATATTTTTATAACACATTACACACATGCTCTTTTATGAGCAAGTCAGTCTCAGGACATGCATTATGGATTCAAAGCAGTCTCCCACTCACATAATCCTTTTCCATTTATTTCCAATTTACAGTTGCAGCCTTTTGGAAATCTCCTTGCCAATCACATATGAGTCAACTGCCAAATTCTAAATTAACTGTGAATCTATGACCTCTAATTCAAGCCTGGCTTCTCTCTCTCTTTTTCTATTAGAATATGTTGTTTATTTTTAAAGAGAATAGACAGTGACTTTATAAAAGTACCAGAGTTCATAATTCTATTATGTGTGAGGAAGAAAAAATGGAAAGGGTGTGTGTGGGGATAAGGTACGCTTTATGTTCTCTCAACTATCACCACATAGCTCAGCTATATACACTGGCATTTAGGCAGAGGAATCCCACCCTTAAAAATTGTAATCAACCCTATGAATGTCTTTACAGGATGAGCACAAAGTTATTAGTAATTATGAGGCACTGGGAAAATACATTAAATATTTGCTTGGACAGCTTGCTCCGACCCCTCACTCAAGTGGCAAGGGAGGGTGGTGTTACTTCCCAAGACAGACAACAGACGCACTCCTTTCCAGGCTCTCTTTCATTCACCCTCAAGAATCCCAAATATTTGGACTATAGAAGAAAGAATGAACTTTACCCTGAGAATCAGACTCTTAAAAAGACTAACATTTTGGATATTTAATATCCATTAAAGCAGGTTCCACAATGATTATGAACTGTTGCACAGGAAACAAAGCACGAGGTTAAGAGAAGGCTGAAGCTGTTTGTTCAGCTTTGAATGCGTGCAATGATCACTGAGTTTATATCTCAATGTTGTCACACATACCTTTGAAAAAAACTATCCTAATTTTCCCGAAACTTAAAACTGAAACATTCACCTAAAATGATATTGTAGATTTCAGTTTTATTTTAATTGATTACAAAAATAACAGTGTCAATGTGGGAAGTCTAATTGAAGAATACTATTTGTTGTGTTCTATAACAGTGGCCTTCATAGTTTCTTAATAACAAAGAAACTATGCACTGGTGTTTTTTAACTCAGATGTACAATCCATCAACAGAAACCATAAACTTCAGTGCATTGTGTTTATTATTTTATTGATCCACTGTTTGATTGTAAGCAATACAGTATTTGCAGATATCCAAGCCTACTGTTCTTAAAAAACAGAAACAGCTCAGGGCAGAAAAAATGTACACTCAGCCTCAGTCTAAACATTTTATCTTTTTTTCTTTCCAAATGCAGAAGCCTGATGCAAAGCAATCATAGAAGCAGCACAAGTTCCAGTTAGTTCTCAGCAAATATTTTAGAAGCCTACATCCTGCTCCTATGCTAGGTACTCCAGCTTTATATATGACCCAATTGTGTTTTTTATATCCCCATTTGCAAAAGACAAAATAATGACACCTGCATGGATATGGAGAGATATTTGTAAATACACTGCAAAACCCCCACATGCACTTCTGGATCTAGCTGCAGCAATGAACTTATATGAAAACAACCATATGTTTTTAATAACTAGGTAAGATTTTTTTCAGGAGGATTCTACTTCTGTTTCCCAAGAATAGTTAACACTTGAAAAATGAAAATGTATAGTAATTATAATGATTCTAAAAAGGTGCTTTATTATGTTTTCTCTTCAAATCATTCAGACTAGCATTAGACATAAGCACTTGTTAATTTTGAAGCCTACATTATTTTGAGAGCTCTGGTAGAGATCCATACATTACTACTGCAGGGATAATAATCATATAATTCCCTCTGTAAAAATCATAATAGCCTGAAAAAAACTATTGACGGTTTATCCTTTCTGAAATATAACCAACAGATCTGTCCACTCTTTAGAAATTCCTATAGACAATGTTTCATATTCAGCAGCATTTACATGCAAAATTTAGTAATGTTAAGCCTTAATCAACAAAATTGTATCATGAATTACTGCTTTTATATGAAAAAACAAAACTCATGCTTCTTTCAGTAGAAATAAAAGTCCCCCAATGTTACTGCTTTAACAACTACACAGAATTATACACTTGAACTCAATTTCAGAAGTTATTAAAAAAATGACACGCTTCCTTTGCCTTTCACAGCTACCTTTTCTTCAGCTTTCATTACACCAAGAATACAGAAGATTTCAAGTGAAAAGCTGTGATCTCTGACATTTGATAATTAACTATAATAATATAGTCAATAAAAGGCAACAGTTGTATGTGAATCAGCAATCACCAAATGTTGTTTCATTTGGTTGCATGAGGTTCAACAAGGCCAAGTGCTGGACCCTGCACTTGGGTCACAACAACCCCCTGCAGCACTACAGGCTGGGGGCAGAGTGGCTGGAGAGCTGCTTGGCAGAAAAGGACCTGGGGATGTTGGTCGACTGTTGGCTGAACATGAGCCAGCAGTGTGCCCAGGTGGCCAAGAAGGCCAATGGTATCCTGGCCTGTATCAGGAACAGCATGAGCATGGTGAGGGGGACTAGGGAAGTGATCGTCCCCCTGTACTCGGCACTGGTGGGGTCCCATCTTGAGTACAGTATCCAGTTTTTGGCCCCTTACCACAAAAAAGACATTGAGGTGCTGGACTGTGTCCACAGAAGGACAACAAAGCTGGTGAGGGGTCTGGAGAACAAGTCTTATGAGGAGAGGCTGAGGGAGCTGGGGGTGTTCAGCCTGGAGACAAGGAGGCTGAGGGGAGACCTTATCACTCTCTACAGCTCCCAGAAAGGAGATTGTAGTGCGGTGGAGGGTCGGCCTCTTCTCGCAAGTAACAGCTGACAGGACAAGAGGAAATTGCCTCAAGTTGTGCCAGGGGAGGTTTAGATTGGATATTAGGAAAAATTTCTGCACTGAAAGGGTTGTCAAGCTTTGGAACAGGCTGCCCAGGGAATTGGTGGAATCCCCATTCCTGGAGGTGTTTAAAAGATGTGTAGATGTAGCACTGGGGGACATGGTTTAGTGGTCAACTAGGCAGTGTTACGTTAACAGTTGGACTCAATGACCTCAAATGTCTTTAACAACCTAAATGATTCTATGATTAACTCCGACCAGAGCTCCCTGAATGTTCCATTCTCTCTATTAGCCTTATGATTGCTTATGGAGTAGAGTTTACACAACTGTGTTCAGGACATGTCTATATGCGTGTGTGTATGCACGTGTAGTTGTTCCTGCCATTAACCCCCAAACCATTTGTTAATTTCAACTACATTTTAAAAAGATGAGTTGTTTCCCACAAGTGCTATGAAATTATGCAGCCACACAATACAGAGACACCACAGAAATAGTATAAGGGTGACAAAGCAGTCACGGCTCACTAGACAGCAAACAGTTCACACAAAGACCTTGTAAAAGCTCAACAAGAAGAAAAGCTTCAATTCTATCTTGCACCTTTTTGGTACCAGTAAATCAAACATGTAGCTCAAACCTGTAGGAAATTGGGCTTCATTAGTTCACTGCTGACAAAATTACTCATTTATATTCATATCCCATTCTGATTTAGTGCTTTCTAACCTTTTATTCTATTTCTATATGTGGTTTTTTTCAGATCCACAAATCAATATAGCTGATCATTTATTTAGAATAAAGGTTATGGTTTTATGCTTCCTGAGGCAGGCACAGTGTCCCTGCAAGATCCCAAAGTACCTAAGAATCAAAGCTGCGTGATCCACTCAGCCCTTAGAAGAGACAAATACTCTATTCAGGAGAGACGCCTCTTGCATTTCAATTCAAAGAACAGAGATGGGAACACCATGACCAAAGCATCACTGTGACCTCTGAAGACTTGCATATGAAGGACAATAACATTTTTTTTCCCCTTATATATGTCCTTCAGAAACTTGATTCAGCTCCATGACATGATGCTGTTATGACCATTATGCCATAATAGTCGTACCTGATAACTATTAGTAATAAACCTTCTTTGTATACTAGATGGCACAACTAGGCTTCTAAGAATTTTATAAAATGTATAAATTTGCTTGGGAATATGACTTTCCTCTTGCTATAACTACAGGT